AACACACACATGTACACACACACACACTCACACGCACGCACACGCGCGCGCGCACACACACACACACACACGCACGCACACGCACGCACGCGCACACACACACACACATACACACACACACACACACACACCTGTAACGCTGTGGACTTGCTGTAAACCCTATCCTCGTCCTCGTCAAAGTCAGTGCCGACGGCGGAAAGGAGACAATCCATTTTACTGAAACTGTCGTCGGTGCCGACCTCGCCGTCCTGTTGAAATTAAAAGATTGTATAAGATAACGCAACAGTTTTCGGTTGCCGGGATTTCGCATGCACGCGATTTCCGGCACGCTTACCTTCCACGCGGCGTACAGGCGCTTTATGCGCCGGAAAAACATGTCCTTGTCGAGAGACGGGTTTGCCATGATTTCGGCGGTGGATTTTTACTCACGCGGACACTTTCACCTTCTTCAACGCTAAATTATAATCAACGCCTGCGTCGTAAGCGGGCGGGGGGGGAACAAAACATTCAGAAGACGCGTATATGTAACGCCTCGGCGTTTATCACATCTTCCCTTCCGGTTTTCTCGGTGAATTCGCGCGCCGGGTATACAGATCGATTTTATTTCGCGAGTTACAACCGCCGACGGAGACCGCGACGGACACACCGTGAGCTCGTGCGACCCACGTGCGACCACACAAACGCGGAGATGGCGATTATTATAACCAATCCCCGCAACCACACACACGCAACACGCAACGCTATAGTGACGACGAATTTAGGGCCAATTTCACCAACCACAGTTAGCTAAAGTTAGCAGAATTGATCAATAGAAATGAATCCACCCTGCTTTCTATTCGTCGTCAGCTTTTGGACTATAATTTGTGTAAACTGGATTACACGAAATCGAAACGCGTATAACACGAAATATCTTAAATTAAAACGCGAATTGAATACTTTCTCTTCTTATTTTATATTCTTTTCTTTGTAAGCTTCGTAATTTTATGTTGATAATTAATAATAAATATCGCATAATTAGATGTCACTTACTACGTTTACGCGAGCGTTACTTCTGTAGTATAACTTATTACGATATATCACTCGTTTACGGGGAGTAAATTATCGTAAGTTACTACAGAAGTAACGCTCGTGTAAACGGTAGTAACTGTCACTGATCAATACATATAAGTTAAGTTATATTTCTATAATCAATTGGACAATATGTTAATATATATACACTCTACCGGCAGGAATGCCTGGACATAATACATATACATATACATGTACATATATGTCATATACATATCAAAATGTCCAGGCATTCCTGTCGGTCAGTGTACGCATTTCGAACGTTTTCGTGTAATCCGGAATTAATGAGATGTCTTGAATGTACGCAATTTAATTGTATATCTTATATAATATACTATGTAATTTTGTATTATGTAATCTTTTTTGTAATGTATTAGATTTTGCGCTAAACTAATAAACTGTATAAAAAAGTAGAAAAAAACTTATATCCAAAGAAAAGAAGACCGCTGATTGGAATCGGCGGGGGTGGTGGAGGGCCTCTTTACATAAATTAAGTAAAACTATCTAATTCTAAATAAATATGTGATTATATTAAGTAAGTAAGGTCATTGGTACTATATGAAAAAAATATTTTCTTGGATCTAAGTATTTTTTTTTCAGTGTAGATAAAAATCGGGTAGGTAGGGATACGGATAGGTAGAGATGCGGGAGGGATGATTCGATGACGAAAAGAAATTACTTTATAATTTTAAGAATTTTAAATTTATTTTTATAAAAGTGCAATCATGTATAAAGGTTAAGAATTATGTAAAGCATTACATTCTGTTGTATAAAACTGTATAAAATGTAATTGTATAAAAAAATGTACCTATATGTCTAATTTGTGTAATCTGAGTTACATGAAATCGAAACGTGTATATAACATAAATTTTTCTAAATTAAAATGTTATTAAATATTTTTTTTTAATTTCTTATTTTATCCTTCTTTAATAGCGAAATTATCGGCATTTTTTAAATAATGTATAATAAGAATTTTTTATTTAAATAAAAATACAAAGATTTCAGGCTAAGCTAGTGATCGAATATTAACTTTTTACTCGTGAAAATTGACATTTGCATTTTACTGAGTCGCGAATGCATTCGAGAAAATAGTTCCGATTCAGGAGTTATATCCTCAGAAGCATATATCGTCAGCTACGAGTCAAAAGTCTCGAAATTGCTTGTTCCTAAATTTAGGAAATTAATTTAGAACTAAATTAATTTCTTAAATTTCTTTCCGCGGTAAATATTTGTGAAAGGCTATGTGAACACTGCGTTTTTTCCACGTTCGTGATTGCGATTGCTGCCTCGGCGATGAGCCTTATCGCTGTCCCTCATCTCAGGTGAACGCTAGCAAATGCGTGGTTCGTAGCGGCGTAAAGTGAATATGATCTTTATCGTGATGAGTAATTTTTTGTCGGTTTTCGTGAGCTCTGTCTGCGACGTCTAATTCGGCGTCTCGTCGAAAGTTGGAGGCTATACCGTTGCAGAGACCAAATTAATCCCAGGTTTTCTTAGCTGTTTTCGGAAGCAGTGATTTTGGCAGTGAGTCCATAACGACTACCACATGTTTAATAATCGCTAAATTAATTATTATATTCTAGAGAAGATTTTATTCTTCTCATATTTAACATATTTATTGAGGTAACGGATGTGTGGCAAATTATTAAATATACTTACCATATATCTAAATAATTGTATGCAATTTGATGACACCAAAACAGTATACTACACATCAGAATATAGCATTCTATACACCCGTTGCCTTAAAATCAGTTAAAACAGATTAGGATAAATTTAATCCTGGACGTCTCTTTATTATTCTATTATTTATTCTGTATTTATTAGTTAATTTAATGTGCATGCAAGAA